AGACGTGATCCCAACAGCAGTGACCACTGCTCTAAGGGTGCTGGCCACAAAGGGAAGGTTCCCCCACAGAACACAGCCATACCATGCTATACTGATGCTCTGCACACTGTAATCCAGGAGGGCAGGGGCCATGGCCTGAAGTGGTCCCTGACATGCTCATCTACAGATTAAATGGAGTGAACTAGCCATGGCTGAGTAGATAATTCATCTGGTTTTAAATACCTAAGTTTAATAAGGAGATAACACTCATCAAACATAATAATTTACATGAAAAAGACCAATTTTTAAGTTGGTGTAAGACTGAAGTCTGACAACCTTTAGAAACAAGAGGTTCATACCACAGCCCCCAAATGCAAAACAGAGTCACTGATGTGGTCTTTCTAGACAGTATCACATTTAACCAAGGCCTTCTGAGTCATTATTCCAAACAATGGTGACAAAATCTCCCTCAGCATCTATTATACCTATATTTATATCTACAAACATCCAAAGTGCTTCCTAAGTGAAATCCATCCTCTAGTAAGTATTCTTTTCAGGAAGACATGAACAATACAGAGCATGAGTGCATGTTGATATGGGGGAAACCTTTGAAACCTATAAAAATTGTACTATTTTTAAAGTAAATTGGACAAAACGTTAATGTTTAATGTTTGGGATGGGTTCATAGTTACTCTCTGAATAATGTTTGACATTGTGATGGCTATTCTTGGTTGTCAACTTGACTACAACTGAAATTAACTAAAACCCATTTGGTTGGGTACACCTGTGAGGGATTTTTCTTGATTAGATCATCTGAAGTGGAAAGATCCACCATAGATGCAGATCTTTCAAGGTGGAAGATCCACCTCTATTCTGGGCCACACCCTCTGGCCGCAGCCTACATAAAGGACATGGAAAAAGGAAGTTTACTCTTTATCTGCTAGCCCTCACTCTCGTTGACAAGGTCATTCCTTCACTGGCATTAACGTCTTCTTCTTTGGGATTCCGACATCCAGCCTCATGGACTGAACAACTGCTGGATTCTTGGATTTTCCATTGGTAGCCAGCCATTGTTGGACTAGCTGGACCACAACCTATAAGCCATTCTAACAAATCCCGTATATATTCACTCTACCATTTCTGTTCCTCTAGAGAACCCTGACTAATACAGACATCTTTCACATGACATTAATCTGTGCGCACACACAATTACATGCACGAAATTGTTACTTCAATTAGTGGCTTGCATTTCATAAAAGAAATCGTTCAATAAATTTGGGTTATGATGGTATTTCCAATGATTATTTGAAAATGTCCTAAACATATACATGACATTTTATTCTATGTGTTTATACAAAGAGGCGTTCACAGTATTGACTAGAAGACTAAACTAAAAGGCGTGGGAGACACTCTACACCCTGCAGGGTCAAACAGTCAGTGAAGATTCAATTCCTAATGTAAAAATCTGAAAGTCCTTCAAGAAGCTGGAAGGGTTGCTTAGTGGTTAGTGTTCTTGCAGGGGGGCCATGTTTCATCCCTAGCACCTGCCTTGGTTGGCTCACAAGCATCTGTAGATGCAGCTGCAGGAGAATCCAATGATGCCTCTGGCCTCTGTGGGTACCTGCATTCACATGCAGCCACCCATACAGAGACACGTACACAAAATCCAAAATAAAATAAATCTTTAAAAATATTGAAATACAAGAGCTTTAAAAGTGCGTCCATCTCATTAATATGCAAACTTGGTTTTGTCTTTAACGAACAACAAAATTACATGTATACCAAAGGATTGTTTTAAAAGAAATGTGTTGCCAGAAATGTCTCATTATTACACCTATTTTATATACACCTATATACTCCGGGTTGCATTAAGATTCTTGGGTGAAAAGTGATTGCAAGTGGGAAATGATTAAGAAGCCTGGCCACACATGACCTAACCAACGCCCAGTCAATCGCCTGATCCCCAAGAACACTATTGGTGAGAGAAGAGATCATCAGGGTCATCACCGCCTACAAGCAGGTGATAGTCGAGGTCTCCTTTACACACATGGCAGAGGGAGGTGGGGAGGGAAGGGAGTCTCTGGAGCTGTCAGTGGAACAAAAGGAGTTCTGAACCTCCGAAATACAAAAGCTTCCCTGCGGAACTCGGGTCCTCTTTGTGTTTGATGCACTCAGCTGCTGGTCCCTCCTATATTCATCTCCTCCTCCTGCTCCTCCTCTTCCTCCTCCCCTGGTCCCCTCCTCCTCCTCCTCCCCTGCTCCTCATGCACATCCAGCACATATATAAAGCGAATCCTTCCTAGCCTTAGCCTCTCAGCGCAGAGCACTAGATCAGATCCTGGAGAGCAGCCTCCAGCATGGCCTGGGTTTTCCCTTTCAAAGAGCATCACAGAGTGATTTCTCATGTCTTGACTTCACTTTGTGAGCTCCATGACAGGGCCGACTGTCTTGTCACTTCTGTGTCCCTAACACTTCTGTTAACAGAGAGTTGTGACTCAGTAAGTAACTGAAGCATTAACAAGATGCCCCAAAGGTAAGTTAGTGGAATCACTAACTCCCTGGAAGTCTGTAAGGCCAAAGTCGATTGTGCGGACTTTTCAGGGGCACACCACCACACTGATATCCCATCCTCCCCTGGAGTTGGTGTGGCGGTATGACGGAGGTCTGCAAGATGAAGTGATACACCCACCTCCACACTGACCCATGAAAACTCTTCCATGCTTTCTCTCTAGACTCCTTTCTTCAGCCAGACTATAGACGACCCTCCCGGTGACCTTAGAAGCCACACTTTCATACCTGGGATGCCGTGTAAAACGAGGACACTCTTCTCACCTGTTGCTGAGAGAACTAAGCTCCCTATTTCAAATACACATCAGATACCTACGTGTTACCAGAGCTAAGCCTAGCTAACTCAGTGATGTAGCTGGGCACAATTCAAGCAATTTGTACCGATCGGCAGCGCTTGTTACTTTTCCAAAAGAAACAAAGGCCATTCAGAGGTCAGTACAGTTTCCTGAGGTGTAGCTAAATAAAAGTTCTGTTTCTTTGTGACCATTAGGAAAGGTAGTAACCTCCCCTTAGGCTTGCTGGGGCTTGGCCCACAGCCACCAAATAGTCTGGGCAAATTCCTGTGATGTCAAAGCTCCTGACAGTGAACTTGCTTCCTAGCCTCCTGGCCACACCCCACGGGCCCTGAACCAACGCCCAGCTGCCTCTGCAAGTCCTCCTGGGTCTCTGACTTCATCCTGGTTTACCTTGCAAAAGTGCATCTCAAAAACATTGTCCTGTTGTTTTCCTGCCAGCTGGGGAGAAGCTGCCAAAAGGCTTTCCAGAGAGCCACACCACACCAATCTGGGCTGCCTCAGAACAAAGGCCTGCCTGGGAAGGGAGCCGCCAGCAGACCTGATAGAGATACCACCTCAGAGACGATTATCGCCCCGGGGCAAAGCTCTGCTTACACTGAAGACATACTTGACTCTCTCTTCTGTTCAGTCTTTTCTGCTGAACACTAAACTTGAAAGAGGACTCTTTCCCTAAGGGATCGGAGTACTTTGATAATCAGATTATGTTAAGCGAATTAGCGCGTGTCCTACACCTAATTGCTTGTTGGGCCTGCCTAACTCTAAGAAACTACCAAAAGCTCCGATTCTTGATGAATGCTTTTTCCCTTTGTCTAGGGCAGGTGACGGATTTTACGGAAACTTTGCAGATAAAGTATGAGTGTTAATCTTTTGATGGATGTGCCACAGGCCTTTTTAGGAATTCAGTGAAATACCTTGACCCTTTCCTCAGAAAAATATGCAAGATGTTCAAGCACACCCGTGGTGTAGACAACTTCAGAGGGGGGTGAAGAGCTGCAGAGTTCAGTGGTTCACCCCAGGGTCACGGGCTCCCTAGAACAAGAACCAGCAGACTCTTCCTATAAAGGCCAGAGCATGAGTGGGTCTGGCTCTCCCCAGTGCCTCGGCTCAGCCAGTGCAGTGTGAAAGCAGGACAGTGTGTGGAAGATGGATGGCCACGCTCCAACGAAACTGTCTGTGGACACGCAAGTTTCAACTTCTTACCCATCCCTCATGTCAAAAAATGTTACTCTCCTCATCTCTTTTCAATCGTTGAAAAAATCAAAAGCTTTCATATCTGCGGGCCCACAGGCACAAGTTGCCACACTTCACTAGAGAGCCAAGGTGCATCGCGTCAGAAAAGAACACTGACGTCATGCTCTTCTTCACTCTCACTGCCTTCTTAATGGGGGCCGAACCCCTTCCTTGTGGATATACGCAGCATAGCCCAGGAGTGGCCGTGGTCAGGCCGACACTGTCACCAGGGGAAATCACAGACATGCTCCTAACACACGAGAGGGGTGCAGGTCACTCAGAATGCGATGCTGGCCACTCTTTATATCCAGTCCACTGTCAGATCTGTTGCTGTGTCTTGAGAGTATATGGATGGGATATAAAGTAGGGTTTTTCCTTCCAGCCTCAACTCAGTCACAGTTTTTGCTTTTTCTGTGGTGGAAAAGTGAATGAGTGTGATTGACAGGGAAAGTATAATACCCTAAGCTTCAGAATGGTCTTTCTAACTGTAGAAAAGTTCGCAGAGAGGTATAGGGTTTACAGCTGGGGAAGTGCTTACGTGGTTCCTTAAACTACTGTGTGATGCTTTAATTTATGAGTTGGTTAGAATAAAGTCATTTTAAGCATACATATTACTGTATCCTACATTGGTTTTTTTTTTCTTTTTTGCATAGTGCTGAGGGTCCAACACAGGCCTTGTGTGTCCGAGGCAAGTAGTGCCCCAAAGAGTGATGACTTCTTCAGTCCTTGGTCCTTTAAATTTTTACAACTCTATTTCAATGTTCTTGATTTAGTCTAACCCTAGAGTTTCACTGCATTGGGTTTTTAAAACAGTAGTCTAAAAAGCAGCCCAGGCTTCTCTGTACTACAGAGGTCCACAGCACAGAAAATGTCAGCGAGCCCTTGCTTGCCCCAGAAGAGGACCTGCTCAGCCATGGCATCTCTTACCAGTGCGTTCACATCTTCGGTCTTGTGGATGAGCATGCGAATCTCTTCTGGATCACCACTGAAGATGGCCTGGACCAGCGGTGGCTGCAAAAACAAGAGACCGAGATTTAGGACCGTTACTAATATATAGGTTTGCATTCACATGCAGACAGCAAAAAGGAGATCTGTTCCCTCTAAGTTTATTCAAGAATTATCAAGGAGCAGGCAAAAATAAATAAGACCTGGGCTACATTCACAGAGGAGTCTAGTTGGGGAGATATTTACATAATAAAGAAATAACTTCAATACAACCTGAAAGCCATAAAACACAGTCACTGTTTGGGGCTATGAACTAAAATAAAGTAGAATAAGAAAATCTCCCACAATTCAAAGTGTCCCTGATAGACCCTTAAAGTCCCTGATGAGGATACGACCAAACACAGGATTTCTATAGTCAGCCCCTGTTATGGACTAGACCTTATCACTCCCGATGCGAATGTTGAAGTGTAACTCTGAAAGTCACTGGAGACAGGGCCCTTGAGACCTTGTTGGGAGGTTCTAGCAGGGGATCACGGCTACTCCTGGACCCTCAACAGAAGACTGGTCCTACGTCCTCATCCAACCAAATGCACAGCTTTGCAAGGGATGCATATGGAACAGGAAGGAAGGAAACACACACCTCACAAGCCAGATCAGCCGAATCAACCCTGGCCATCAACGGCATGACAGACAGATCCTGCAGCCAGATTGCCCTCACCTCCAAGACAGGGCCTTTATGGAGGAAGATTATGACCTAAACACTTGTTGGCCAACCTTTGAAAACACCGTGCAGTCGTTCCCAGATGCTTTCATAGCTTTAGCCGGCAGGCACTGACTGTTTTACGATGATTACATCCACAAACAAGATATAACAAAGCCTAGTTAGAGAACAAGGGGTGGGCATCAAGGAGACCCTCTTACACAGCAGAAGGAGCTGTAAAGTGTGATAAAGACCCAGCTGCAGGGGCAGTGAGCTCCACAGGGTGTGAGGAGGGTAAGGACGGGGTAGCCAAAGAGCTTGGAGGAAGGCACCGTAACAACTGAGTGTGCATTTACAGGTGGAGGAGGAAGGGCACTCCATCCTAAAGAGAAGGTGTGCGAAGGGGTGGATAGGCATAGAACCTGCCAGCCAGAAACCATCGCTAACTGGTAAACCAGTGGAGTGTGGGATAAAGGAGAGCAAATGGCGGCTAGCGCTGAGGCTGGGCTTGCCCCACAAGGTAAAGGATCTTCACAGCCAGATCCACCATTTCCCAGCTGCACGCGGAGACCGTTTTTTCCATAGGGAATCTGGGCGTGAGCAGAGTCATCACTGGCCACTCCCCTCAGAGGAGAAAGCTCTCTGAGGTCATTCACCTCTACATAAATAATGTTTTCAAATAAGAAAATGTTTAATGGTGTCAATATGGAATAATCAACCTCTTTTCTCCCTAATCTTCAAATCTTGGCAAACTACAGATAGGCATTTACTTACAGCTTTTGGAAATGTTTTAGTCCTAACTGGATGACAGCGGCATCCCAAGTTTGACTCAGCATGAGAATCAACTGAGATGCTTATTAAATAAGATCCCTGAGCCCCTTTCCTCGGGGTTCTGGTTGAGTTTATCTAGAGAAGGGGGCCATGAATCTGGATTTTCAATAAGTCACCACCTAACTCTTTGAAGTTGGCAGCGAACGCTAACCTCACTGGCTTCATCCACCTCCATCTCTCCTTTCATTTGGAAGTCTTAGTCCTCATTTCTCCCCTAAAAACCTTCCTCTTGCTTCTCTCCCCCCGACATTATCTTTGCCATAGGATTTTTTTGTTTGTTTGATTTGCTTTTTCGAGACAGAGTGTTCTGTAGCCCAGGCTTTCTTACAAATTTGGGATATTTTTTAAATCTGTGCATGCACATGAGTGGAGGCACACACATGGAGGTCAGAAGACAACCTTGAGTGTTGACCCTCTCATCCCACCGTGACTGAGACAGTCTCTTAGTTGTCAATGCTGCTCCCAGCAGACCAGCCAGCCCACACACTCCTGGGGATGCCCTCGCCCCTGCCTCCCACCCCACAGTCTTCTGGGGTTACAGACGCATGCTACCATGCCCAGGTTTTACAAGGGAATTCTAACTCAGGTCCTCACACTGTAGGATCGCCTCAACTCTCCTTTTGGTTTCGATGTTGGTTAGTGTTAGTTTGGGCGACCAATATAAACATTACCAGTAAGATATACCAAGAGTCCTTGAGATAGCATAACATATAAAGCATATCAAATTGCAGGTAAATGTTTACACCTGCCATGAATCTGTCCATAAATAACCCCTCCCCCAGTCATGTCAGCAAATGGACAAACATGCCTCTTTCCTACGCACTCATCTCTCAATCCTGCTATATGCCAAGGTACAGAGATAGCTTTTCACGTTGTCAACCACTAAACATCAAAAAAAGATGGTTTAGAAAAAAAGAGAAGCGTTCTACCAGTCCAGTCTTAGCTGGTGGCTCTACAGAAACAGAGTCCTTTCCCCTTCCTGCTGCCTTTCTGATAACCAAGTCTCCGGCGGCGGCAGGATCACACTCATCTTTTCACACTGCTGACAAGCTGACAAGCTCAGATTCTAAGGTGCAGGCCCAACCCAGGCTTGACGGCACCAGTGGTCATGCGGTGATGCGTGATGCGGTGGCACGGGAACGCGGGGAGCGATTGCACGGGGCCTCTCACTCATGAGCGCAAGGAATGCAGGCAGAGACACTGTAGGATTCATTAAGTGCTCAGGCTCCTCAAGGGAGGCAAGCCTCCCAAGTCATGAGTGGAATGTTCCCAAAGAGAGGCTCCCTGCCTGCCGCAGATGCCAGGGAAGGATGCCAGAGCAGTCTCCAAGCACACGGAGGTGTGTCGAGCTTCCCAGCGGCCCTGGGCCCGGCTGTGCTCAGAGCTGCACAGGTCAGACACAGGTCTCCTGGATTCCACAGGAAGAGCTGAGCCTTTTGTCCTCCTATGCTGCTGTGGAATCCACACATCCACACACGCACAACCGCGCATACATGCACCATGCACGTACATATCTGTGCTTGGACACACATGCATAGAGACACGTGTTAATTCACTTACAGACACCTCCCACTCCCCGCAAAAGTGCCCATCAGTCACTCAGGTACCACCTCAGCTATCAGTTCAATTGTCGCTGTGCTCAAGTATCCCTTATCAATGGCCCCAAAGCACAACAATAGTGGTGACAGCAATTTCATTACAGTATAACTGCTTTATTTGATTACTGATTATTACTGTTAACCTATAAATCAAAGGGTATCATAAGGAGGTGTGTATGCACACGATTTAAAAGCATAATACACACTGAGTGTGGTGCCGTCTGCTGTTTTAGGCACTCACTGGGATTCGTGGAATACATACCCTGCAGACAAGGAGAAACTACTGTATTCTTTTTAAACCCAGCACATCTCAGTACAAGTATGGCAATATAAGGCTGGGCTGTGCAGAATTCAGCAAACCCACTCATAACAAGGGTCAAATTGTTAAAAACGGTAACAGGGAAAAGGGGGGAATTTTAAGAGACAGCGCAGTCATTTCCACTTCTATTACTAGAATTTTCCTTGCACCTTGGCAGCTTTGGACCACCAATGCTTGCCGTGGGCTGTGAATGCTGGCACAGCCCCCGGAGTGGACTCGGAAAGCAGCCGGACACTTCCCAAGTGGATGGGACTCGTCCTCAACTTCCATCCATTCCATCTTTCCGGGAAGGGAGGCCTGCCTCATTTAGAGGTGACTGACTGCCAGGCTGACCATACTTGGCCTATAAGGGCAGCAGAGCCCATCCACGGGCTCCTCGTATTTGACGGCCGTTGTGAGTTCCATAGCAAACATAAAAAAAGCAAAGACTCAGCAGAAAGCCACTTTCCCTATTCACAACTCTTTCACCCAAGTACAGTGTTTTTCTTTCCTTTTTTTTTTTTTCTTTTTTTATTCGAAGCCTTGGAAAACAAACCAGAAAAACCCTTCATTTCTAAAGGTAAAACCTTCAAGACAGTAGTCTCAAACTCTGAAGTAGGATTGCAAGTCCACTAGGGGGCGCAAGATAGTAATTTGTTTTCCTATCAATGTTCAGGTCCTATAATTAAGGAGGAGTAGTTACAGGTCCACTTCAGCTTCTAAGAAAGGTCTTAGTAGGAAGCAAACATGTACACACACACACACACACACACACACACACACACACACACACACACACACACACACACACACACACACACACACCATGTACACATCCAAAAAAAAAAAAAAAGGTAAAGAAGAAAGAAAAGGATCAAACAATATTTTTTTTTTTAACCCAGCTTTCCTACTGAGCCATGAGCCTACTGTTTTAGGAAACAAAGACAGAGCTAACGGAACAAATTCTATGATCAAAAATGTCATTTTCATTATTTGAAAACACAATTCACAGGACTGAGGACATGGCTCAGCTGATAAAGTAGTTGCCACACGAGCATGAGGACTTGATTTCAGATCCAGAGGACTCAGGTAAAACTAGGCACAGTGGCCTATCTGTAACCCCAGTGCTGGAGGCAGTGAAGTAGAGACAGGCGGATCCACAGTCACTAGCCAGCCAGCCTCGCTTAATCAATGAGCTCCAGGTTCAGGGAGAGACCCTGTCTCAAAAAACAAGGTGGAGGATGGGGTGTTGGCAAAGCCTTTAATCCCAGCACTCAGGAAACAGAGGAGGTGGATCTCTGTGAGTTCAAGGCCAGCCTGGTCTATATAGTGAGTTCCAAGACAGCCAGGGCTTCATAACAGAGAAATCCTGTCTCAAAATAAAATAAAACAAAAATGTAAAGTGAAAAGTGATAAAGAAGCCACTGGATGCCAAACTCTGGCCTCCAGGGGCACTAGAGTACACGTGTACAGACATGAACACATACATACATCAACATGGACAGAAATGAAAAACACGATTCAATTCTCTCAGTTCCATTAAAATTATGTTAGTCATGACATCAGTCACGCTATCCATTTAAGAATAAAGTCCCAGACGGCTGGGAAAATGTATTTCATCTTGGGTTCAATCAGAGCA